TTATTTGCTGTGTTATCCTAGTACCCTGTCCTATTTTACTACAGATTAAAATAGAACAGCTGCAATGTAATCCTGATAATGTGATAAACACCCCAACAGATGTGGGTGAGCCCCACAGTCTCATTTTAAGACCTTTCTATGTGATTTTTTTTTCAATCCAGCTATGATATCCTTAAGTGTGCTTTTTTGCTTCATGTTTACAGGACTTTGAGTTATTGATTTGTGAATTTATAAGCTATTCAAAAGCTTGGGGATTTTTGTGGCATGAATTTCCCCTTTAGTTTCCCATATTCTCCTCTCTTACTATTTCCTCTCCTGTTCATTCAGAATCTCCAGACACCCGTGTATTTGTCCAGTGCAGTTGCTGGGTTGCACCATCATCTTCTCTCTTCTTTTTGTAGCAGGGGTGGGAGAGGAGAGGGAGCTGCCAGAGCATGCTAGCCAGTGAACCATGCCAGACACCTCAATGTGAGGACCTGGCAATGTGTGTTGTTCATACCTAGGGTTGCTGGGGCATGCTAGAGTCATACTTGTGGTCTTTGGGAGCCATGCAGTGCTGGAGGTGGAATTCAAGGCCTGGTCCAGGCAAGGTTCACATGCCAAACTTTCTCCCCAAGATTTACTTCCTCCCCAACACTTTTACTATGGATGATTAGTTTTATTAGTTAAGATTTTTAATTCACGCTCCTCATGGACCTTTCAATAGGTTATAGTACCTTCGAAGGGCAAGAGAGTTCCAGCTAAGAATAATTTTACTTACTGTGCTCATAGTTTTAATTTACTTTTTTTTGAAAAACTTGAAGTAATAGTGCATTGCAATATGACCATCACTGAATATCAACATGTGTTCAGACCTCAATAAGTTCAAGAATAAAGGTTCAATTCTGTATTTCATCATACAGTTGTTTTAGTTCAACTGAGCTCCTTATTCCCTTTTTCCATTTCTCTTCTGATGATTCTAATGATCATTAATTTGTCTAAAGAAACTTATTCTAGATAGCACATCCAAGTGAAACCATATATTACTTGATTTTGTTAAAAATTTTGGGGAGGGGATAAGAAGGCTGACCTTACCTACTGGTACTCAGGGGCTATTATTGTATTATTGGCTCTGTGCTGAGGAATGATAGTGACATTCAAGGGACCATTTGTCTTGCCAGGGATCAGATCCAAGGGTTCTACACGCGAGACACATACCTTACGTTCTGAGTGCTCTCTCTCTCTCTCTCTCTCTCTCTCTCTCTCTCTCTCGTTCCCTTCCTTCCCTCCCCCAACCTCTCTCTCACCAATATTCTCTTTAGGAGACTTTTTGTTATTTATACTGTCCTTAGATTGCTACGTTCTTATCAATCTGTTCTTTTGAAGCTGTTTAGACCTAGGATCCCGGTCTTCTGAAAAAGATAAGGACTCGCTCATTCTATAAAAAAATAAGTAAATAAAAATTTTAAAAAGTGTAAATTTTAAAATTTAAAAAATTTTTAAACACTTTAAAAAGTGTTTCAGATTCAACTGTATTAACTTGTTTCTTTTTACTGGTTAATCTTCAATTTCAACAAAGTGGTTACTATTTTCAGAGTCAATATGGGTATTAAAAATTGAGTAAACTCTCTGTCTCTCTTCTCAGTGTCACCTTTATCTTCTCTCAAGCCAGAAACTACAAGGAAGATTTTAACAGGTGACAAAAAGAGCCCTAAAGAAAATGAGGAATTAATGTCTTTTAAAAGAGAAGTGACAAATTAGGCAAACCAGAAAGGAAAGTTAACCAGATATGTTGCCAAGCAAGTAGAATATCCACGGGATCATCTGACTCCTTATATTCAAATTCACTTCATAACTGACTAATTGCAAAGAGGTGGCTGAATTGGGCCACTTGTAATCTCTTGTGGTTGTGGGACCAAGTGTCTGAAGCTGCCCAGAGTCCAGCTTTCAGGCACAGAAATGCTGTCCTCTCCTGACTCACTCCACCCTCTTCCTCCCGGTGATTTGGGAATTCTTGCAGTAGGTGGAGATTTGGTTACAGAAGTAATAGAGTACACTTCTCCTTTTGGGTAGATCCCTTAGTACCCCTAAGAAGGAGCACCCTGCACTTTCTGTTTCTGTCAAGAATGGGGAAGTGAATATTTCTAACCACTTCCCTATGGACCAAGGGTTACTTCAGCCTGAAAGTTCCTTTCCTTCTCCGTGTTCCAGTTTCTTCACCTGAAAAATAATGGTCATCTTAGGTATTTTTGAGAACTTAGGATCTAAACACATTTGAAGTAGTAGTTGTGAATCAAGAAAACGGGATTCAGAGAACTTAAATAACTTGCCTAGGTCAAATCAACCAGTAGGAGTTAACATTTATAGTTAGGTCTATCTGCAATGTCTATGCTCTAAGATTCTGGCACCTTTGCTATTCTTGGCATGTAGCAGGAACCCCATAAGTAAGAGCTATTACTAAAGTATACAAATGTCATTGAACACATTTTGTATTAGCACATGAGACATGGCTTAAATTCACACAATTAAAAAAAATGCCCTTTTCATGTTGCTGTCTGGAAAACCATCTTCCAACTTATAGTGGAACATACTTGCCCCCTGGAATCCTAACCTGATCAGAGTTTAGCTCCAGAAAGAACATAATTTTTATTCATGCATGTTGCATATCAAACACTAAACTTTAAAAAGAATAAAAATTTACAAACACTTTATATTTTTCATAAAGATGACTTTATTCTGCCCTGAAGTCAACTCTCAGTACTTTAATCATCACTGCCACTGTCACTGTCACCCCGTTGTTCATCGATTTTCTCGAGTGGGCCCAGTAACGTCTCCATTGTGACATTTGTTACTGTTTTTGGCATATCAAAAATGTCACGGGTAGCTTGCCAGGCTCTGCCGTGCGGGCAAGATAATCTTGGTAGCTTGCCGGGCTCTCCGAGAGGGGCGGAGGAATCGAACTCGGGTGGGCCATGTTGGCTGTGCGCAAGGCAAATGCCCTACCGCTGTGCTATCGCTCCAGCCCATCATAATTTCAAAAATAAAAAGCAGTCTCTGAGTAGAATATCAGTTGCTTGGCTTAAGTCAGTATTTTTTCCTCTAATGGCTTTAGTACGTTTCACCATTAAGTGACTGTATGCTTTCTTTTACATTAAATTTCTCTTGGTCTTGGTTTTTTTTTATTGACCTAATATACTGAACACCAGATCGTTTGATTTCCAAGATTTTTCTTCACTGATCTTTTTCTGATCCAGCAATTTTTAACAAGAGCTACAGGATGCTTCTGGTTCATGATGAAACCCATGTGTCCAGGGCAAGTTGCTTAAAACTGTCTCATTTTGCTCAATACTCTGCCTATGCTTAGGATACACCTTTGGTTATTCTGGTAAGATTTGCTACTAAACAATATATAATCAAACTTGTCTTTCCTCTTCTAATAGGAGATTGGCAATCTTTTTTTTTTTTTTTTTTTTTTGGTTAATACTAGAGCAAGCAAGGCACACATCTGCATTGTCTTCAAGAGATGCTTATAGGGATCTTCTTCCTCACTGTAAGAACACCATGGATTTACTTAGGAATAATTCAACTAGCACTTAGAAGTCCTAAGTGCTAATTAGTACTAAGTGTGTAATTTCCATCTGATGGCCCTCTCTGTAACTTCCAATAATTGAAATGGTCTGACAAAGCAAAGGAGGAGTGGACATTCACTCATCTGAGTAGCTGACATACTTCTTTGCAGGAAGTTGCATTGTCACTGCACAGTTGGGCCTCTGAGTAAGCTCAGTCTCAAGAGTTGAAAGGACTTCTTTATTTCAAAATTATTATTTCCAGACTAGTAGGAAAAACTGAATCCTGGTCGATGTCCTACACCTCACCTTCATAGTCAGATCTCTCTAAGTGACTCAGTACTGGCCTAGACAAAATTTGTTTCAGCCCGTTTTAAAGTTTTACGGGTCTGGGTATTTGTTTCCTTCTCTTCTATCCCCTACTTGTTCTCTGGTACCCTTTGAGGTCCCATTTCTTCCAAGAGCTGCCCTTATAAACTCTACTTTCCCTGGGTGTGAGCGATGCATGCTATTTTGCCTCCAAACAAAAGGTCACTGGGTTATGACCATCTCTTTACCAAAGCTGAATAAAACAAGACTCCAAAGGGAGAATTGGGGATGTGAGCTAGTACAAGATTTAAGGTGCCAACCTCTGCTCAGTCCCTCACACAATGATCCTGAGGGGGTGTTAGTGCCTGTAAGGCCTCCAAACCCGTGGCCCCAGGCCCCTGAACACTACTCTGGAATTTCACCTGCAAAAAGAGAAGACTTCCTTTAAGGCAAAGAAGCAGAGATTCCCTGAGGGCTTGGGCGACCCTTAGGTTTCACACCAAACAGCTCTTGTGCGTGGCTCCTTGATAAACTGGTGTCCACGGGCTGTGGTATACGTGGTGATGACCCTGCAGGATCCCTCAACTCTTAGGGGTGAGGCCCCGTGGGCCCCGGGTGCAAGCCTGAGCATCACAGCATCTCTGGGTTAGTCCTGAGCATCACAGCATCTCTGGGTTGGTCCTGGACAGGCACCCCGTGAGCACTGCTTGGGAGCACCCTCAGGATCCCCTTCCCTTGCAAGGGCATTGAAGTAACCGAGTTTATCCACCATCGCCAAACCTTCCTGCACTCGGTAGCCAAGATCTCATCCCCTGCCCTGCTTGCATGGATTGGTCAGACACCCACCAACTTCTCACTGAAAGGATCAATGTCCATAATGTGCCCATAATGTGCCCTTGGTTATCCCGGCAGGGCCGGCTCCCGGGCGAGAAGATCAGGGGTGCAGGGACCTTGCCAGAACATTCCTATTGCAAAGGCCAAAAAAAAAAAAATCCCAGAGCGAGACTTGCGGGTCAGAGGGGGGCGACTCCCGCCCGCTCTTGTCCTGCAGCCGGGCGGGATTCCAAGACTCCCCGGATCACACCGCTGGCCGCGAGCTCCTGGCGCCCGCACCAGCCCCCGCTCCGTCTCCCGGCAACAGCCGACGCGGCTCCGAGGCTCCCAGCTCGGCCATGGCCTCCAAACAGATCCGAAAGAAAGATGTGCACGGCATCAACTCGGCGCACAGTTCCGATAAATCCAAAGAGTAAGGAAGGGGCGGTGTTAGGGCGGGGGTGGGGGGGGGGTGGAGCCGCGCTCTCGTTCCCCCGGGCTGTCTCCCTCCTGGGGGTGCGTCTCCCTGGCCTTAGCTTCTGCTTTCCTGGCCTCGACCCACTTCCCAGTCAGTATCTGGCTCTCTCCTGCCGCCCCAGCTCGACCCATTTGCCTGGATGCTTCCCGCGGGGCTCTTGTCACCTCTCCAGCCCACCCGGGCTCTTAGCAGAACCTCCTGAGTCCCCTCTGCCCAGCCCCACCACTCAGGACCAAGAGGGAGCAGGGTGCAGGGGGGGCGCAGAGGGAGGGGACTTTATTAGCTCCAGGTTCTGTCCTCACAACTCCTAGGGAGGCAAAGGTGAGAGCACCAGCAGAGCAGGGAAGAAGTCAGGTTTCAGAGGGTCTCCAATTCCCCTGGTGAACACAGTGAACATCAGACACTCAGCCTTGTGTGGTTGCAGTGCAATCGGTTAGAGTTGGAGCCCAGGCCCACTGCACTCAGTAACAAGAGTAATAGTAGTTCTGCTATTTTAATAGCATACTGATCTCAGCAAAGGCCATGAACCTATAGGCCAGAATTTATTTCATTCGCAGTGTAGGGCTGTTTATTAATTTCTTCATGATTTTCCACACTTCACGCGCCATATCTCCCTCCCTCCATCCCCTTCTCAGGAAACCTTCGGTTCATTTATCTGCGGGTTCTCTCGTGTGTCATCTCCTCGCGAATTTCCTTACGTTATATTGTCCACGTAAGCGAAAACATCCAAATGCTTTTGTCTATTGACTTATTTTGTCCTGGCCATTTCTCTAGCATTTCTTCCATTTCACTGTGAATGGCAAAAGGCCAGACTTTCTATAGCTGAACAGTGTTCACATGTTTGTCAATCACCCACCGACAAGCACTTTGGGGCTTCCATACTTAGCTAGTGTGAAAAAGACTGCATTAAATATTGAGCTGAATATAACTTTTTTGTTACTGATGTTTCTTCCTTCCTCAGATTGATACTCAAAAGTGAGAATGCTCTATCCCGATTGGTCATCTGTATATTCTCTTTGGAGAAGTGTTTACCCAGATAGTCTATTTTTTGATAAGGTTGTTGCTGTTAAATTATTTATATACTGTGGTTCTTAACCTTTTACGTAATGTCTGGGTGTCAATATCCTTTTCCCATTCAGAATACTGTCTGTTTATTTGTGTATTTTATTACTCTTTGTAAAAGATTTCCATGCGAATACTCCCAGTTATTTATGTTTATTTCCAAGGGCAGTGGATTTTGGTTTCCCAAAGCCATCTTTAATGCCAATGTCATGGAACATCTCATACATGTTATCTTCTATGTGCTTAATGATTTCAGGCCTCCTGTTAAAGGTTTTCATCCATTTTACTTTGATTTTTGCTTATAGGGTTACATCAGTCCTGTTCCGTATTGCTGAGCAGACAACATATCATCTTAGATGATTTGTCATAAGGGCAAATTCTTTTAGTTTAAACTATTTTTATTTTTATTATTTCTTTATAAAGACCTGTATTGGCATGAATTTTTTTTCTGAAAAGCATTAAGTTTTGGGGGGAAATTATTGTTATTGGGCTCATAACTTTGTGGGATGGAGCGATAGCACAGCGGGTAGGGCGTTTGCCTTGCACACAGCCAGCCTGGCCCAGCCAGGTTTGATTCCTCTGCCGCTCTTGGAGAGCCCAGCAAGCTACCCAGAGTATCTCGCCCGCAGGTAAAGCCTGGCAAGCTACCCGTGATGTATTCGATATGCCAAACACAGTAACAAAAGGTCTCAAAATGGACACATTACTGGGCCCGCTCGAGAAAATTGATGAACAACGGGAGGACAGTGACAGTGACAGTGACCTTTGTGGTGCTCAGGACTAACTCCTGGCTTGTGCTAAGGGATCACTCCTGGTGGTGCTGAATATATCATACAGGGTGCCAGGGATGCAACCCAGGTTGGCAGCGTGCAAGGCAAGAACCCTTGTACTATCACTCTGGCCCCTTGCTTTTAAAAACTAGAAATATTTGTTGTCTAACATGAGAATTGCTGTACCACCTTTTAACATTGCACTTTTCGGGTTCGATTCCTCTGCCCCTCTCGGAGAGTCCGGCAAGCTATCAAGAGTATCTCGCCCACATGGCAAAGCCTGGCAAGCTCCCCTTGATGTATTCGATAAGCCAAACATAGTAACAAGTCTCACAATGGAGACGTTACTGGGCCCGCTGGAGCAAATCTATGAACAATGGCAGAACAGTGACAGTGATAGTGACTTTCAACCTTTTACTCAGCCTGTATTTGCTTTGAAAACTGTGTTTTCATCTGTAAAAACATTGGATTTTTTAAAAAAAATTCATTCTGATACTCATATGCCTTGTGTTAGACAAATTTGTACCATATTACTTAAGGTAATTGTTAAAAATATTTATGTATTTGTTGTCATCTTCTTATTTGTTTTATGTTATTTGATTTATCATAGTTCTATTCTTATATTTTTTAAAGCATTATTTTCTCATCAGCTTCACATGTTTTCATCCATAGATTTTGTTTAACACAGACCCGTGAAGTTCAGTGCTCGTGAAATATTACATTGGTTTTGCATTTGTTTTGGTTCATTTGCACTCTTCTTTCCATGTGCCCATACATTATATGATTTTGGAGTCTTATTGCCTGCTTTGCTTTTTGCTTCCTGATGAATCATTTAATATTTCTTGTCAAGTCACTGTGGTGGTGATGAGCTGTTTTAATTTTTGCTTTTGTTTTTATTTCTTCCTCTTTTATTTTCTTCTGCTACCCACGTAATGCAATATTGTTCCTCTTGATGTGGTTCCATAAGACTCTTACACTGTTTCACATTAAAGTGACAGCAACAACAAGAAAATACAACTTCGTGGACAGGGCAATAGTCTTATACTTGACCAGCTGGGATTCGAACTCTGGCTTCCATTTGGTCCCAGCCCTGCCAGGAGTGATCTCTGAGTGCAAAGCCAGAGATAAGCCTGGAGCACCATCAGGTGTAGAAAAATCAAAACAAACAAACAAAACCAAAACCCACGCCCCCCCAAAAGAAATCCCACACCCCCACTTCTCTCTTTGTGATGAAATTCCACTGTCATACTTTCCAACACAGCTCTATCAACCCTTTCTTATGTTGTGTTTTTCAGTTCATCTACTATTTGTTTGTTTCTTTTTTAGCATTTTTCTGACCTTGTTGTAAGTCTCATATTCTTTATCCCATGTTTCCTCTCTTTCATGTAACATTGTTACAGCTCTTGTTTTAAACATGTTTTTAAGCAAGCTTCTCAGTTTTGTTACGCATGAACTTTACCCTTATCAGGCCAGAGCTTCTGTTTTGTTCAATGACTGGTGATGAATGCCTCAACTTCCTCATTTGGTTGAATATTGCATGTTAATGAGGAACTGGTTTCCTTCAACTGACTGTGTAGAGTGTAGGGTACTTGTAGTCTGGCAGGATGTAGTAGCCTTCAAGAACTGCCATGTGGCAGGATTTAATTCTAGGATATTTACCCAGGTGGTGCTATATATGCTGCATTACAGCCGGACAGTTCTGCATCTGTTTAGATGATAGGAGGCCAAGTGTCTATACTGGGTAGAAATAGAAGCAGCAGAGAGATTAATGTTGGAGGGAACATTGAACCCAACAGCACTAGAAAAAGATCATCCAGCAACTCCTGACCTCCAATTCTACCTTCCTTAAGGTGAACGGTCACAGAAAGCAACCCCCAACTCTACCTCAGGGAACTACCTCTCCCCTGGATATTTCAGAGCTCCCTCCGGGAACAGCATCTCCCATTTAAGGAAAACATCTGAGTCTAAGGGCTAAATCCTGCACCATCCATCTCGGGACAGTTCTGCCGTCCTGGCTTTCCCGGCCCCTTCAGTTTAGCATTTATCCCTCTGTTTACTCCTTCCTATGGGCAGTCTGCTGCCTGAGTTATTCACAGGAGTGCAGAAAGGAGCTGAGACTTTAGCTGACCCTCACTGTGAGGGTGATTCTCACATAGGTGCCTTCAGCATGAATTTATCAGCCTGACGCTGAATTTAATTCACTTGCTATTGACTCTGACGAGAGGTGAGAAGCGTTATGGTTAAATGAGTATTGATTGCTATATGATTACCATGTTATTATAACATTTATCTTATATTACCCCATATTTAAGAATCTATGTTCATCACAATGTTGCATTTGAATTTTTATTATTGCATGCATAATGCATGTTGTATCACAGCACAGTAGCACTGTCCTTCCATTGTTCATCGATTTGCTTGAGTGGGCCCAGTAACGTCTCCATTGTGAGACTTGTTGTTACTGTTTTTGGCATATTGAATACATCATGGGTAGCTTGCCAGGCTTTTCCATGCCGGCGGGATACTCTTGGTAGCTTGCTGGGCTCTCCAAGAGGGGAGGAGGAATAGAACCTGGGTTGGTCATGTAAAAGGCAAACACCCTACTCACTGTGCTATCGCTCCAACCCATTGTATTGTAGAATATGATTAATATTAGAATGGCACCTGTTCTATCTCCAGTATGGCTAGAACAGATTTTTGCAGAATCCATAAGCAGATGAAGGCAGAGCTTTTGATGTGGAGATCCCAGTTGGTGTTGACTGAATTTTCAGCAAGCTCTGAGTTTGCAAACTCAGGGCTAGAACATCAGTTGCACACACCCTGGGGTCAGAGGCTAAATTGCCAGTGTGAATAAGGGCTGTAGACACTATCTGAAGGGCTCAGGCATTTTTAATTTTCTGTTTGAGCTTCTTGGTTGTCTTGTTGGTTGTCTGGTTTATCATTGCTGGTATCTAATCTAATTTCTTCCCTTGCACTTAATTTTGGGGTTCAGTTTCCAAATGTTCCACTGTTCTCCAGAGGGAAGAATCTTTGTTTTGCACCTGGTCATGCTCTAGATTCATAACCTATCTTTCTCTTTCAAACCCTGGTACCCCGGGGCATACCACGTGATCTTGTTAACAA